CTGACAGCTGGAAAGAGTTTCCTGGAATTTTAGTGAAATGTCATGATCAGTAAGATCCATCCACTTGGGAGTGAGGATGGAGTTCACATCGATGACATTGGTTGGTACCAGTTGCGCTAAAATCACGAATTGTTAGAAGGTAGAAGTCATAGGTTGGCCACTGAATATAGTCCTAGTGGGTGAATGGTCTACTAGCTATTGAATTGAATTTTTGATTTTCCCGTCGATTGATCGGACCGAAGTGCTCGGTCTCAGGTTGACATGTCGGCTTCTTCTGCAGATGCTTCGACGATGTCTGGGGATTTGATTTGTATACAATTGGTGAGAAATGCAGGTACATCCAGCTGCCGAGTTCCAAATAGGACGAAATGCGCATCCTGGTCTACTAGCTACTTTGCCTTGTAACCACTAGGTCCTAGGTTCAAACTTCGATGGTGGATGAGTACTGCTGATGAGTTCCAGACCAAGATGAAACGGTTGTCTAGTACTCCATGGATGGTTTTCAATGGTTTTCTAACTAATATCAATCCGTGTACAAACTAAAAAAACAAATCAAATCCTTACAAATCAACTCTTGAAAATTATTAATCAAGTCCAGGGAATTTATGTTCATATTGTCTTAATAAGTTACCCTAAAACTTTGTCACACGATATAATCCCATGGCAGGTGTAGGATTGACGACGGTGATATAGGAATCAAATCATAAATTAAGTATCTTGGACTCATTCTCTCTTCTGATCTCTCCTGGTCTTCCCATGTCTTAGCAATCTCCAGTAAAATATTCCGCTTGACATTTTACATTAAGAAGTTAAGACACTCGGGTATAACTCAACCCCTCATCCTACAGTTCGTAAACTCTTGCATCCTACCTATTCTTCTTTATTGTTCACCCTTATTCTTTCCTGGTTTGCTTAAAAAGGACTATATCACAATTCGTAGAATGCTGAAGACTGTCGCTAAGGTGATTTGGTGTCCCAATGGACCACATAGTTAACCTCGTTGTCAATGGGTATTTGACTTCGTGCACTAAATTTGCTAGAGGGATTTTTTCTGACTTGGAGCATCCGCTTTACCCTCAGCTTTCACCTTGCATATCGTCCTCAGGTAGAACAAGAAGTAACTTCAGAAAACTGTTTGCTCACACGTCTAAGTATAGAAATTCTATGATACCATACTTGGCACGTATTTTATGTGATGAAAATAGTGTCAGGCAAGAATTAACTAACCTTTTTTCACCTAGTAAATGAACAATTTCCTCTACCCATCCTTATATACCTTCAAGTTTTACTTTTATTATTTCTATTATATATATGGTCCTGTTGCTTCTTTGTTTTACTCTCATAATTGCAAACACCAACTTATCTCCATAACGGCAGTAATCTTTGTTTTTCCCCTCACTATGTCATGTAAAGAGAATATTATATTCAATATTTTTAAACATGTTAGGATTTTTATACCGCATTTAACGACAATACTGTGTGAAAAAAGCCCACGGCAATTCTCACTTGTATTATTATTGTCATTTCCTTAGCTGTTATCATTAATATTGCTATTTCCATTTTATATGCTGCATGTTTTTGACATTACCCCTATTGTAAATGTGGAAAAATTTTCTGTGTGAATAATTTTTATTTATAATTTGAGGAAATTAGATGGAATATTGTGATTAATGCTGAAAATCCCATTCTGTATCACAAGTACTGTTTTTGGAATAAAGCAAATTATTATTATTATTACAGGTTTCATGGGAATTGATGAAGGGTATTCAAAGCAGTTTCTCAATAGAATGATATATATATATCAATTAGACATACCTTTATTTAAAACAGACCTATTTTTTAACTTAGATTTCTCTACACGGTTCATCTATTTCAGTTGAAGGTATTGGATTCACTGTCTTTTGACCATTATTTATATGTCATATGATGGCATACATTTTCTTATCGTTTAGTTTTAAATGTTACAGACTGTCTTATAAGAAGTTAGGCAAAATCAAGGAACTGATATGAAATAGCGCATTATTTTATTTACATGGAATGATCTTCTTACGAACTGCTTCACGAAGCTGCGCCCATAGATATAGGGACAAGTAACTTCTAGAGGAGAAGGATGGGTTCCCCTGTGAACAAAATTTACTTCTTACCTAATCTGCTACTCAAAACGGTTTTAAGATGACTACTTGTTTACAGAATTTTTTTTTAATTTTTTTATTTTCGATTTACAGCTTGATTCCACACTGTATTTTGGTACAAGTATGGAATTTTCAGCATGGATATCGGTAGCCCAAATTTCGCAGGCCGACCATAGATATCAGGTATGCGCCGGCGTGGGCTCGAACCCCGGACCATGTGCATGGTCGGCGAGAGTCCTAACCACTGTGCGTTTTGTCCCAGTTTGGGACTCACCATCAGCGCACATCCACCGGCTATTGACACCGGTCCATTCCATTTACAAGTCAAGATCGTAGACCATTCAGAGACTAAGATCACGCTCTCTCAACGGATTTTGTGCGTCGGTGGTACAGCGGTAGAATGTTTGCGGACCACGCATGTCATACGGAGTGTGATACCCGGTCGACGCACTCCTAAACCGCGCCAAACGGGTCATAAGGTAGTTAAAGAGGGAAGGTTGTGCATGAGACTAACAATCGAATCTCATAAAAATAAAAACCAAGGATAGGTAACTTCCAGAGCATCAGAATGAGTTTTACTCTAACCAAAAATGTATTTCTAACCTGATTTACGACTCAAAACATTTTAAAACGCCTTTCGTGTTGGCAGACCTTTCAATAAGTCGTTCTGTAAACATTTAATTGGTCTGCTTTTTATATACCACGTCTAAAGAAATTCGTAATCGTTGTTACTAATAATCCCTCGGTTTTTAGTGGAACATTTGGTTTCACCAGCATATTACCATTTCAGATTGTCTTCTGAAGTCTTTTTCACTTGTCTCCATGATTGCTCAGAAGCACTCGTTTCCTTATCATATTTTCTCCTTCACATTATACTCAGGTCAGCAACTACTCATTTCGCATTTGCGTCCCAGTAAACAGTACAGCTGACATGTCACTCAACAGCATCCGCAGAGTATGCTAAAACTATCCAAATTTTCTTCTGAATCTTTGCTAAGTAACAGCTTCTTGGATGGTTCCTTTCTGAAGTTCCTTGTTGCTCATTTTTCCTCAGTGATCATCTAATCTTCACTATGGATATATTTTCATGGTTACGATCTTTAGTCCCTTTCCAGGGTTTCAGAACATCTAAGAAACTAGCAGATTAGTAAACTAGATGGTCAGAAAGAATTGGCAACAAGAAACTCTAGTTAGGAACCAAACAATAACCTATTGCTCAACACATATACAGAAGAAAATGAGGGTTAAACGGATAAGACACATTCAGACAAAACCGTTGAATGACATAGAGCACCTGACTGTCACTCCAGTGGAACGTCAATGAGGGACGATGAGTTGGGCGTTGGTCCAAGGATGACACAGAGAAGATCATGTGAGGATAAAATGAAAGCTGATCAGCAGTCATAGAGGCAGATGAAGAGGATTGCTGAGAATGGTATAAAATGGCAGAGTAGTGCTGAAACTTTCAATGCATGTAAATATAAGATATGTGCAGCTCAAGCGATTCGCCCCTACAAAATGTAAGATGCTGCTACAGGACTGGACCACGTCAACTCCCAACTTAGTGATAGGGAGTGAAGAAGTGATAGAACATGTTGACCACTTCACCTATTTGGGAAGTTGTATCAGCACCAACGGACTGATTGGCGATGAAATCTCAGCACGGATCCAAAAAGCTCCAGCTGCTTTCGCTGACTTACACCATCTCTGGCGTGGGCGTGACATCCGGTTATCAACCAAGGGACGTGTGTACTGCTCATCAGTTCGCTCCGTCCTTCTCTATGGCTCTGAAACATGGCCAATACGAGTTGAAGACATGAAAAGATTGACTGCTTTTGATCATAGATGTCTGCGATCTCTGTCTCACGTTAGGTGGTTTCACAAGATAAGTAATGTTGACGTTAGGCGTAGAGTGTTGGGCAAAGAGGGAAAATCAATCGACGAGGCTATAAAGTTACATAGATTGAGGTGGCTAGGTCACGTGCTGCGCATGCCTAACCATCGCCTCCCCCGACGGACATTACTAGCTGATATAGGTGCAGGTTGGAAAAGAGCCAGCGGTGGCCAAACAAAAACATGGCCTCATCAATCCATGAAATCCTTAACAGTTAAACTGAGTCAGGTAGGGAGATGCAGACTTCCGGGTTGGGGCCCTCGGGACTCTAGGAATCAATGGCTGGAGACAATAGGTGACATGGCTCAAAATCATCATTGTCAATGGCCAGCCCAGATGTATTCAGTCTCTGTAACCTTTCATATTCCTTTCTACCATTACCCATTCTGTTTCACTCTTATACTTGTCAAACTCTATTGATTCTCTTCACTCATCTTCTTGTCTACCTCTGTGTGCTATTTGGAACGTGGCAACTCGAACTGGTGCACTTCGGTGCCAAGTTCTATGTTGAATCCAGACAGACAGACAGGACTCATCCGGTTTAATTCTATTCAGCTCGGAACCCAAGGCAAAAATATATCATATATATATATATATATGTATTGTATAGACCAAGCCTACTTGACCTTTTAAGTCATACGTGATAAGACATATTAAATAGATAAGGTTTCCAAATGAAGAATCACTCGTATTATTTCCATTCGACATTATTTAATTATTATTGCCTAAATTGGAAATCTAATAATATAACTATATTTCCTCTATTCTTAATTTAAGGACGTACTATGGTATGAGTAAATTGAGAAGATGAGAAAGTGGAACAGTTTTATTATTCTTCTTCTTATTATTATTATTATTCTAACAACCTCAAAATTAACCAATCAGAAGTCAGTTGAATAAAATTTAACGGAATAATAATGTGAATTCATCACCAATAATAGGCAATCAGAGGAATTAGAATTCTTATAGAGAATGTGACTGTATATTATATTACCTAGTAATGACGTTGAGATGCAACTCTTACTATTGTCATTATATAGTATCCTTCTATTATCTTTCTGATTAACATTGAGATAGTATAGTACACAGTCGATTGTAAACAGGAGTATATAATGCTACGAATACAAGTGACGAGATTATGTGTAACAGATTTACTGGGGAAAGATTTTCCAGCATTACCATTATCAGTACTAGTGTTCAAATTCATGATGTATATAATGTGGATTTTAAATTCTATGGATTGTGAATATATGGCTGGTGTAAAGAAATTACGATTGCAAAGTTTAGACATTGGTAAGTAACTTTGGTGCACTGATTATAAAATATATCTAATGTTTCCCTATTGTATACTAATTTATCAGTAAGAACGGTTGAATGTGAATATATATGGTACGTTCCGTTCACAAGGAACACCTGATGGCTGGTTTTTCATAGTTATAAACTCTTCGAAGGGTATTCTTCTATGGTCTTGCAGAGGATAAAGCCGAAAATGTAGACACAAAAGAGATCCAAGAATTGGTTTGTAGGGATTTGGTTGATTAGATACAGGATTTCATCATGAACTAATATTAGTTAGAAAGTGCGAGTACTACACAGCTGTTTCGTCCTAGTTTGGAACTCTTGAGTGGTACGCACCCACGGAAGTTTGGGCCCAGGTCCGTCTAGCTACAAAGCGAGCTCGAAGACCGTTAGGCCAAATCCCTACAAACCAATACTTGAGTGCCAGTAAGAAGCACTGGCGACTGCCCTATTCAGGCAGTTATCCTGGGATTTTAGTGGGACGTTTTGACCAGTAGGTGCAGCAGGTCGGGTGTGAGGACAAATACTCGCCGAAGACATTGGCTGGCGGTTGCGCTATATCGTGAATTGGCAGAAGCTAGAATTCATGGGCCATTGGATAAGGTCCCAGTGGCTTAATTGTCTAGAAGCTAGCTCGCCTTGTAACCAGAAGGTCCTGGGTTCTAACCGTGGCAGTGGGTGCGTACTGCTGAAGGGTCCCGAACTAGGACGAAACAGCTGTCCGGTACTCCCAGGTTTTCCAATGGTTCTGTAACCAATGTCAACTCATGATGAAATCCTGTAAACAATAGAGTGCCATTTCTGACCTAGTGTCTGAATGATACGCTAGGCTCTTAATCTAAACACCACTCATATGATGTACATTGTTACAGAGTCTCTATGTAGGGAAAGACATTTTGTAACAGTAATTTTGCCACGAATCTGGTATATACACATAAGGAAATTGTGTACACCTTATATTAAAATCGTCATTTGCAGATATCTTCTATGCTTTGCCAATTCTGCCCTTTGTTTTGTACATCTCTGGTCTTCTCTTTGTGTCTCTTATTCTCTTCTGCCACATCACTGTTCTATTTCCTGTCTTTGACATTAAATCTATTTCGCCACCAATTGATATTTTGTGCCTATGAACATCTCTTTATAAGCGTCTGGTAAATTTTGTCATTAGCACATGCTACACTCGTCTCTCTGTCAAGTAATTGCGAACGAAGCCGCTTCAACCCACTTAGTTTTACCTGTTCATGTTCTGCTTAGGTCCTGAATTCTTTATCCCAATTCTATCCATTTCTGAAGCTGGCTGACGTTAACCCGTTTCTGTTTGTTTCCTTTTTTGATGGTATCAGCGGGACCACGATCTTGTCATATAAAGTCAGACTGAAAGTGACCGTGTAGGGCATGTGGAAGCAGTTTGAAGGCTAATGGATGGGTTTGAATGAAACAATAAGAAAACAGAATCTCGAAAAACCCAGAGCAGTGTTACACTGTTGGGTCATTATATAGGCAATGGTAAGGTAAAACCGCTACCGAAGAAATTCTTGACGATAAAGACTGTTATGCCACTCAAATTCCAAGAGAAAGCTAGGACACTTTTTGGGGGGGCAGCATTTTATAATTGACTTGTGTTAAAATCTCAACAAGGCAGTAGCTCCAAGATTGTTTGATCAGAAGATTCTCCGAAGATATTCAATCGCTTTAAACCGCTTCTAGACCACCAACAGATGACACTAAAACTGTCTGTACCGGAAAACAGTTTAAAGTGTGCACAGATTCGAGTGACTACCGCATAGGTGCAGTATTAAAACAGGTTGGAGGAGTTGTCAAATATGGCAGTCATGTTTTGACACACACCAAAATTTCTCAATTGCTTTTCATATCTCAGTCATTCATTATATGACAATGGTTTCCACCTACACCGGCTCTATCACTAACCAGTTTGCTGAAGACATCATAATTAGTTTACCTAGTCGTGTTCAGAACAGTGAGAAAAATTACAATCTCTTTCCATCAGATGATAAAAGGCTTCAGGTTATGATTTCAGATCTAACAAAACCATAGTGGAAGAGATGAAAATGCTCAGTAAAGTACTATTTAGTGACAATTACCCATTACATCTCTTTGAATATGATGAATACAATCCGTGAAGTAAGGTGACCGCAAACAAGAGTTGTATATCCTTTTACCACTCATAGATAATTTACAGACAAAGACATCAAATTAGTCAGGCATGTAACAGCATTTACTGAGATGATCGCTACAACAAGGTGAATCAACCGATCCTGTGCCCCAAGGATCCTTAATTTTTACGAAAAAATAAAATCAATCCTATATTATCAGGCCTCTCATATGAATACACGGGGCGTATTTGCGGTCCTCAGTTAGTTTTATTGAAGCACTAGTCATGAAAACAAAACACTTTAAAAACACTAATTCACTGTGTGATAATGACTTTCTTTATCGTATTGAATTACTACTGATAATTAAGCTTCATTAAAGGAGATAGAATGTAAAACTGTTTTCCTAGCTAGATCCATTATGCTGTTCACCCAAGTGCATTTATTCAACTCTGATCACCATGTGTACACAGTGAAATACTTTAACACTGACTAAAACGTACGCCGAGAAAGCTGAAAAAAATAAAAGAATTCAACATTTATGTAATTAAAGTAAAATGATAAATTTAAATATATTTTAGATTTTCCCGTTGACTAACTGGATCGAAGTGCTCGGTCTCAGGTTAACATATCACCTCCTCTTGTAGATGCTTCGATGATGTCTGCGTATGTAACTAGAAGTTAATTGCTGAATGTTGACTAGCACTGGAATCCAGACAGAATGCGCATTTCATTGTATTTTCGGGACTCATCAGCCACTGGATGTACTTGCATCCCCTAGTGAGAGTGATGGTGCTCCCATCGAGGCTCGAATCCAGTGCCCATAGTTTTGAACGCCAAAGCGTTATCCTTTAGACCACTTAGGCCAGGAGACCAAACACTTTAGTCTAATCAATCGACGGAAAAATCTAAAAATGAATTAAATAACTAATACAACCAGTTGAACAAGAGCTGGCTCCCGTGGCTCATGTGGTCTAGTGGATAACGCTTTGGCGTCTGAAACTATGGGCATTCGGTTCCAGTTTCAGTGGGAACACCATCATTTACAGCGGAATGCAGGTAAATTCGCCTGACGAGTCATAAATAGGACGAAATGCGCACTCTGTCCGGATTCCACTGCTAGTCAACATCCACAGATTAACTTTTAAAATGATATATCTTACTGTAAAGTATGAACCTTGCATACAAAAATTATTTTTCATTGATGGTATATAGTATTTAACGATTTCAGTAGTTGGGAACGACCCAACTCGAAAATTTGAGCTTAGTACCAGAGAGAAGTGATCAAAACATCAGACGGCTTTTTAGCTAATTTAAGGCCTGACTTATCAGCAGTGTACTCTATGTAGCTGAGCTTAGAGACTCTAATCAGTCCAAACCAGTGTACTTGTATACTTGCCTTTTCTATTCCCATTTATGTTATCAGACAGGTCGCATATCATAATATGAATTTTCACGACAAACTTTGCCATTCTCAAATGGCAAAGTTAGTTGTATTCGTGAAAAATATTCATCCAGACATGGAGCCTCTATTCGGCGAAAATGTTTTCATTTAGAGTTGTACAACCACAATTTAATATATATAGTTACTTTTGTATTTGTGTGTGCATGAGTTTTGTCAAATAAGAATACAATATAAGTTTGGGATATTGTTGACGTCATAAAAATACTTCGAAAATGTAATGAATAATCAAAATTGTAAACAGAGGGGTTGAATATTAGTAAGTATAGACGAGGGTCGTACAATATGAAAATCTTCAAAATAAACTGGGGGGGAGGGAACATGGAGAAAAGTATCAAAATAAACTATGCGGTAGGCGAAAACAGTAAGTACAAGGCCAGCTAAGAAAACATCCTACGAAAAAGGTGAAAAAACGGTCAAAACAACAAAATTTTGATAAAAGTTGAACTTGAAATTATGCCTAAGGTAGAAGGAAGGGATGTAAAGGTTTTTTCTATGTACATAAATTAGAGATTTCCATAAGAATCCCTAACACCTCAGCAGTGTTTATATGGATGCTTAACGTTTTCGGGACTGGGGCATCTATTGACTTGAACTTTGACTATTATGGATAAAAGTTTATTCTGATAAAGCCACAGAGTATTGTACAGTAATATTTACTAATGAATATGATCCAAGCACAAATTATTACTGCTCATAATCATATCAAGGCACCACTCACACAACTTCCTTGCCTCGTTTATGTACATGAGTAAAATTGATTGGACACTTGAATAAAATCAACATAATATAGAGTACATTTAGAAATAATATTAGTGTTATCAATCAAATACAATCAGATGGGAAATAAGATGCTTTTTACAGTAAAAATAATAAGTAACTTGTTAGAATGTCATAATGGGAATTGATGGAATACATTTTAGGATTATTTATTATTCTCCTCTGATTTGACTGGTAGCAATATCCTCCATATTTGTGGTGAAATGGTGAAATTAATAATCATAACATATATATAAGGCATCTACAGTTTTACCATATGACGAGGGGACATCTGAAACCATACTTAGTTTTCTTAATAAAGCAATAATTAGGGTGGTATTCAAACCTACAAAATCACTCAGGTAGGGCAAGCTCTGTAGGCTAATGAACCCGGTGGACCTCGGCGGACCCAAATAAACAAAATAATATAATTTACAAAATACCTTGCAATGACGGTGAGTTAAGTCAACTACATAGGTCAAACTAGTAGATCAGGAGTAGTCAGATTGCTTTTCAGAACATAAGAATTTAGCTATGGTTAGAATAACTGAATACACAAAAAATGAGTAATTTAGAAAAAAAAATCAGCCATCACACTGCATGCATTAGCAACGCACGACCACAACGGAATAGGGTGGGTGAGACAGAGTAAAAATTCTCAA